GTTTTTGTATTAGACCCGTCGTCCATTTATTTGTAAGTCAATGGCTTACATAGTCTTTAGTCCATTTGTTTAGGTACTCAACTAAATGTAAACAATCTTGATAAGTCTATTTAATGAAATCTACATTTATAAAATGATTTTTACTTACCTTCAATTACAAATATTTAGTTACCTTCATATAAAATTGCATGCCTATTTTTACACCTATTGATTTGTAAATTTGGTTGATTTGTGTTTCAATTAAAAGATGTATCCAGATTGTTTACATTTAGTTGGGTACCTAAACAAATAGACTATGACCACAACTGCCAATTAATTTGACATTTTAACTTGAAATGTAGTATCTTACATCATATATTATGTATTGTAACACTGTATCTCTTTATGGAATGGTCCTCATATATCATCAACTCACACATGCTTAGTCTAATAGACACAAATATTTAATTTCTACAATGTAAATGATCATTTCTTCATTCAGGTATATTGTGCCTGCACTAAAAACTATTTTTATTAGAATAATGGCACTATCATGACTTGTGCATGCTTTAGGACAAAATGTTGATAGCAATCACAGTACATCAGTTCTGAAGCTTCATCATACAATATTAAAAATGCCTTAAAACTTATACCATAATGTTTGAGTGGCTAACACTTGTATGCAATTAATCTCAACAAATTAACATGTTTTTTTGTGATGCCAAGTGAGGATGAACAAGATGTGCGCCTAGTAGAAAACAACACACCTATCCATAACAGTTGCAGTGCCACTCGGAGCTTTAATTCACAAAGATTTAAGGGGCATTCTCACTGCGCCCGTCACCTTGATACATAACTTGACAAGTCCCATTTGCCAGTAATTTAAGGCTAAGGAAGTTGGTGTCCTTAGCCTTCAAAACTGAAACTCAGTAATGATGATAATACTGCTTGGTGGCAGAAATAGGTAAGGTTCTACTGATACTAAAGCATTATGTAACCATTGAATAGCCAATTGCTGTTTTCTGAAAGACAGGCATTCAACTTTGTCATACACAGATATTGTGTTGATTTTGTGCGTAGTACTTGTTACTTTATATTTATAAATAATATTAATTAAGTAAAAAGTATTTTGGGAAAACAGTGATGACACTTCAATCATGCTACCTAGCTGAATAAAACTGCGTGATTCAAGTGGAGTGTTTAATTAGTTTTCACGGACATATTAAACTTAAAACAAAAGTAACCTGATAATTTGACGTGACATAAAACCCCAAGTTGCATAGCGTAAATTACAAGTTCAATTTGATAAGCTAGAACTGTGGCTCTCAAAATGGAAGATCGAAGCCAGTGCCTCAAAGTCTCAACTCAAGTATATAATGTTTACACTTAGAAAAGGAAACTGCCCTGATGTAAAAATGAACAACCAGACCTTACCTCATGTTAATACTGTTAAGTATCTGAGAGTGTATCTGGACCGAAGACTAACATGGAAAGATCGTCTCAAAGCAAAACGGGATATATTGAACAACAAATTTTGATCTATGCTGTGTATAATGAGTAGAAAGTCAAGGTTATCAGTTGAGAATAAGCTATTGTTGTATAAGTCAGTATTAAAACTGAAATGGACATATGCATTGGAGTTGTGGGGATCTGCCAGCACCTCTAATGTGGAAATTCTTCAGCACCTCCAAAATGGTGTACCAAAGTCTATAGTACAATCACCTTGGCTTCTAAGGGTCGTATTCCAGAACTCTACGCAATGCTCAAGTCAGGACTTGTTTATGATTTATAGCACTAGAAATCATATTCAAGTTCTTGCCTTTAGAGTCGTATTTCCAGTGCTTGAAATCATACTCAAGTCCTGGCTTGACCATTGAGTAGAGTTCTGGAATACGACCCTAAGAGTCCGCAAAATACATGACTATCTTGAAATGCCAACTATCAAACAGGAGATACTGGCACGTAAAGAAAAGTACAAGTCTCGATTATCACTACATACAAATGTATTGGCAAGATCTCTGGTTGACGAAAAGCATCTAGGTGGCTTGAGTCATTTGGAAAAGTCGAGAATACTGGAAAGTTGAATCAGTAGAACACAAACAGCCATTTAATGAATAAGGAAGGAAAGAGTCACAGGACTCTATTACGACATACGACATAAAACTTTAGCACGCATCGGTTTATGGTTCAAGGACTGATTGCATATGGATACAAAATAAAGTAAAAAAAAAACTTGATAGTTGAGCTCTAGGTATGATTTCTCAATTGAAATAACAACTATAAACAAAAAAGTGATTTTGTTTTTGGAGAGAGGAACAAAAAATAGAGAGTAAATTCTGCCATGACGCGGATGAAACTTCTGTGCATCTCCTCACCCAGTGCTACCCTCTGATGGTTGTTGAAGTTCCTTACAGGGATGGCACAGACACCAGAGGACATAAAAACTGTTGGAGCCAGGGAAGTCCTTCGGCTCTTCAATGCTGGCCCTGATTGAAGTCAATCTAATAATAACAGTAATAAATAAAATTGATATCCAAAATAATATGGCAAACTGCTACCATATTATTATTTTGATCCAGAACCGTTATTTTTGCTGTAAACCTTTTGTTTAGAATGGTAATAGTAATGTTCCAACACTGTACTGCGGCTCCGTCCTGCCCATCAACTTATTAGTAATTGATATCAGAGTAGCTTATAGTTTTTAAGTACATTATATATCATCAGTTTAAACGTAAAACTCACTTAAATGCCAAATCTACTAATGCAGGTAATAAAGAATTTGTGTTTTACCTGCAAAGGGATAATGTTACAGATATTCTATCTCACGAAGGCGGGTGAGTCTTCGTTGTTGTTCAGCGCGTACATGTACATTGTTTTAGTGTGCGTAAGCTTTTAAGTATTCAGTCGGGACTTCGACGCCTTCCGAACCACTAGTGTAAATTGTGTTCTTCAGTTCTCTCAGTCTCGTCAGCTTTTCCGCATGATTACCGACAACATGGAAACAAAACGTCGAAAAGTCGTCTATAAAGACGTATTGTTATTTTTATATCTATGTACAGTGAGATACTGTTTATTTTCAAAGTAACGGTTTTTTTGTTGTTAAATAAAATTAGTAATAAAGATAAATAATACTATGGTTAGGTTAGATGTAGTTGCCTGTTAAATTAAATTTACTTGCCCATTAATTTAATAAGTTTAATGTTTAAAAATCAATACAGAACAATCTCAGTAAGTCTAGTAACCCAGAGCATGTGTGGAACAAACTTACAATAACTAATTTAAGGTCCCTTCGAAACTCGAGCGTTCGAACAGTGCAACATATATTAAAAGAAGAGAAAGAGTTGTCATCCACTTCCTCGAATTTTACGTCTCCCAATAAAAAGAGAAAGAAGACAGACAGCAATATAGAAATAGACAGTCTTACAGCAGATGTAATTAGGTCTACAATCAATAATTTTCACATCATACAAAAAGAAATTCCAACATTGATTAAAATAAAATCATTTTTATCGGAAAAAATTGGTTTTGATGGTTGCCTAGAAACGCTTCGCATACTATTACGGAAGTTAGGGTATAAGTGGCGTAAAACAGAAAAATAATATAAAAATATTATTGGTCGAGTGTTATATTATTCAAATTTGGCGATTAAAATATTTGAAAATGATGGCAGAATATTGTTTTCAAGGATGTTCAATTGTCTATACGGATGAAAGTTACATCGTAACTCATGTGCGTAGCAATACCTGGGCACAAAAAAAACAAACCACACCATTTAAAAAATAATGCACCGGTACTCGTTTTATATTAGTACATGAGGGCACTGAAGATGGATTTATTGAAAATGCGAAGTTGGTTTATAAGACCAATTCGACAATGGGAGATTATCATTCAAATATGAGCTACGATAATTATGTTATATGGCTGGACGAGACGCTTTTACCCAATTTACCTGCCCGTTCCGTTATTGTCTTAGACAATGATCCTATCACAACCCACGTGCTGATAAATTACCAACATCGGCATCAAGAAAGGTTGAGATGCAACAATAGCATTAATAAAGACATTCCATTCGAAGGAACTTTCCGAAAAGTGGAACTGTATGATTTAATAAAAAAACAAGAATGAATTTATAACCTACAAAATTGATGAAATTATCAAGAGCAAAGGCTTTGATGTATTACGCCTTCCCCCTATACCATCCCGATTTAAACGCTATAGAAAATGTGTGGGGAATTGTAAAAAATTATGTTGCCTCAAGGAAATTTATCGAATATGGAAATCTTAATAAATGAAACTATTGATAATGTCAGCAGCGAACCATGGCTTAAAACTAGTAGTCATGTTGTAAAAATAGAAAAATAATATTTAAAATATTTTATAATAAACTTGCAAGATGATAGTGACAACGACAGCAAGACTGAATCTTCTTCAGATTTTGGATAAATTATATTCATACAATATTTTTTCTATTATTGCAATCTTACTTACCTATATTTTGTACTAACTAATAACAATTGACAAGTTTTACAAAAATCGGCACACAACAAAAATAAATATTAGAAAAAACATTTACGATTGCGATGCTATCGCTACGTTAACTTACACACACAAACGCGCTTATCTGTACACGTCACTACTACAAGTGTTCATTACCCGCCTTCGTGAGATTGAAAGTCTGTAATATATATCTACAGACTTAATAATCAAAGACACCCTGCACTTATAATACTATATTTTCCTTGTCATAGATTAAACTCCTTTTTAATCAAAATGGTAACAACTTTTACATTTTAACCATTGACTTACAATTATATGGACGTCTGGTCCGCGCTATAGGGCGTTAAAATCGTATACAGAGCGTCATTCACGCTTTAGTCTTCGTTTGTTTCTTCTGACAGCGAAGCAAGCAAAATTAGACAGTACCGCGATGACATTACAATTTAAATTCAACGTTTTAGCTTTTTCATATTCCTTTACATGTCACTACGTTTAAATAGGTTGACTTGAGACACTTTTTTCGTGGTTTTTGTATTAGATCCGTCGTCAATTTATTTGTAAGTCAATGATTTTAACCAATGATATTAATGACATATCTACTGTGAACTGACAACTTTACACAACGAAGAAATAAATTGTTTGCATCATTTATATAGCATCTGGTTTATTAATGCTATATAAATGACGTAAACAATTTGTTCCTTCATTCTGTAAAGTTGTCAAAATTGAGATAGTACCGATTGCCAGTTCACAGTCGATATGTGTGTTTGATAAATATAGTCCTATTTATTTATTGTGGCATCCTATTTGTGAGACATTTTTACTAAATAATCATGGGCTTTATTTTGGTTCTTCAGAGCGCATGGCACAAGATATATACGACGAAATAAAGCGACTGCAGCGACGCCGGCAGCTGCGGCTTGCCGGTGGCGCCGCATCGTGCTCGTCGTCCAGTGGTAGCGAGGGCGACACCTCCCCACCGCATCGTTCACATCACCACTCTCAGAAGTTACACAGCCGCGCACTATTCACCTACAAACAGGTACATATCATTATATTAACCTTTTATATTATTTTCTTATTTACCAATGCACTAACAGATGATAAGTAACAATGTTCAACTTTTTGTTTAATAAAAATTACGATTTACAAAGAAGGATGGCGATAGCTGACCCAAAATCAACGAAGAGGAGCGTTCTTGGACTTTGCTAGTATAATTTTACGTTTTAGTCTATTCCTAGTTATCAATATATTTTTTCTATATTGTTAGAATAACAATACTTGAATGAGAGATAAGGAAGTTGGCGAAGGAACACTTTGACAAGATGCCTCTTGCCAACGTCAATGTCATATGAAGATTAAGAGCAGTGTGACCATTTGTGGCAGATTTCTGCCATTAGGGCAGATTTAATTTTTATTCATTTTCATTGCGGCGGAACATGGTAACATTGTATCAAATGTAGCAGTTTGGCAGATTTGGGAATATTTAGCAACTTCTTTACTATTTTTGAGAACAAACTGAAAACTTGTTGTTTTCTGCTACTACAAACAAACATTTGAAGCGAAATACAGGACGATGTAATAAACATAACCTGTATCAATTTTACAACCTCAGTTTCTACAGGCTGTACTCAATGTACTCAAAATAAGCTATATTTGATACTATTATAATGAATCACAAGTATTGAGAGGCTTCTTTAATGCACGTCGTCTAAAACACTGGGTCACAAAATACGTCGCCATCCTTTTATAGTAAACAATTTAATAAATTTATAAAATTGTAGTTACAAAGTTTATACTCCGTCCAACCCATTGACTTACAATTATATGGACGTCGGGTCCGCGCTAAAAAGTGTCCGCACTTGTAAGGCGCTAAAATCGTATACAGAGCGCGACACTCCGCTTTAGTCTTCATTTGTTCTACCGACGACAGCGCGATACTGCGATGACATTACAATTTAAATTTCGAATAGGTTGACTTGGGACATTTTTTTCGTGGTTTTTGTATTAGACCCGTCGTCCATTTATTTGTAAGTCAATGGTCCAACCATTTATTTTACTTTTGACAACTCAAGTACTAACCAATTAGTAATGTCCTAATGCGTTACTGATTCGATTTCTTATTACAATCTACTTTATTTAAGAAGAAGTTACAATCGTGAATGTGATCGGGTTCACGACTAATCTAAGCCCACAGTATGAACCGTTGTGTCACCGAGGTCGTCAAAATCATTAGCTATAACAAACCTAAAGTGACAAAGAGATTATGGAAACATTTTGCCTTAATAATCTATGATAAATAGCAATTATACCAATTTATTTTTCCACATTCCACTGCAGTGATAAGTAATACTTAAAACTGTTGACTTATTTTCTTTGTGTTTTTATAAACATAATGAACCTACATGTAGGCATATAAAACATAAACATCTTTTAAAAGAGATTGATTTCTTGCCAATTATATTGATTAAAAACGGAAATATAATAAGGAGCTAGCAACTCAGGTTCCGTTATTTCTATTAGGCATCATGGAGTTATTTCTGCTGGGACTTATAGCCCTCAGGATTACTAAAAAGTTATTAACTAAGTAAATGTACATTATACATGTTATTTCTGCATAGGTGCGCATGATTTGCGAGCGGATGTTGCGCGAGCAGGAGGCAGCTTTGCGTGCCGAGTACGACGCTGCGCTCAACACCAAGCTCGCCGAACAGTACGAGGCCTTTGTGCGCTTCAACCTCGACCAGGTACTTATATCATTTATAAAATCATAGACCAAAGAAAATTGATAACTGGAAAGTTACAAGTTAGGTCTGGAATGAGTGTACAATAGACATACTAAAAGGGTGCTATACCGAGAGATTGTGATAGGTACATAGATCATCCAACACTGAATTTACTCTGAAAAGGAGATCAATGAACATTTTTGGATCTCGGCAGCCTTAGTCATCATCTGTGTTCAGACATGACCAAGGCAGTAAAGCGTGAAACACACTGACAGCTAGTGCGAGTCGGGCGCGTGTCGGGTCGGGTGTACGCCGGTTGTAATTCCATGAATTAATATGGACTAAACAAACCACGCGCGTGATGTGTTGCGGCCACGCCCGTCGTACTCCCGACCCGACACGCACCCGACCCGCATCCGTTCTCTGTGTGTTTCACGCTTAAACAATGTATTGTATGTACAGGTGCAGCGTCGACCCCCGGCCGCCACGTGCATGCCCATCGGCATGGACGCCGAGCACCACATGCACCAGGACCTTGTTCCGAGTTGTAAGTATTACCTGTGTCAGGGTATTTGTATACCCGTGATATTAATTTTGTGAGACATTTGATATTGAACTACTTGCAAGATTAACTCATTAAATTTTCTTTTTTGCAGATCTGTCCTAATAAAACTGTTTTGGCGGCACGCGGTGTAAGCTGCAAATATATCAAGACAAACATATTTTGGTATATGTTAATAATTATATGCGGGAATTAGAGTATCCTAATGAACAAGACATTGTGATTGCCCGTGGAGTTTACCAGAATGATATTAAGGAACAGACCGTTTTAACAGCAATTACAAATGCAGTATTACAATTTTGATTCTTTCTCTATTATTGATGAGTTCAAATATTTAAATTTTGTCCACGAAAAGAGGTTTCCTAATATGCCCTGGTAAACTCTACAGTTTTGTTCATGCCACATACATATAAATTAGCTTTTAATGCTTTAGATAAGGTTCGCTGGATAATTGTGTTCATAGACTGAGGGTTGATAGAGTAGCGGCCGGACCTTGGGTTCAAGGTACACGGTTACGCCTCAAGGTCCCAGAGCCCGGCCGCTACATGGATAATTAAGTAGTGTCCTGATGTGACGCCGAGTGTATTTTATATATTTTCTAAAGGTAATGTGAAAAACCTGTAGAGTTTAGTATATCTAACATGAATAAAAATTCACGCAGAGTGCCTGTTAAGAAAGAAATCATTGTCCTCAACATTTTGTTTAGTTAGCTATAAATTCTATTGGTATAGTTTTATTGTACTTTTTTAGTGTTTTCGAATTATAGTTGTAGTTGGTATAATATCATTTTTCTCCCTGAGTACTGTTGGCTGTTCGCGTAATTTCTTATGAGAAGAAGGCCTCGTTGTTATCAGCCTTTCGGATATTGTTTATCTGGTACTGCTTTTCGTATTTATAACTTAACGACTCTCTTAGTCGAATCTTACAAAATTACTCACTGATACATAATGGCTTATTTAGAACATTAGCTTAATTAAATTTTCTAAGTTATTCCTCGATAATGTAGCAATGAAGCAACGCTGAATGCACTGTTCCAGTGTCGAAGACGTAACGACAGAATGCACATGTAAGCATTATTGGGATTTTTTGTTTTATATTATTGTTTAGTTAGTAACATTTTATTGAATACGAAAGGACTTTGTTACCAAGCATTATTCAATAAAATTAGGATAGGTTCTTTTTTAAATTGTATTATTCAGCTCATTATTAGTAGGTTATTGGCGTTTAAGAACTGATAATAAATTAGCTAAACACTAAAAGATTTTTTTCATTTGTGTCACGTGAAAAAACTAACGAAATTATCAAAAATCTAATCCTTTTCGCACTGCATCCGCTTTGTATTCGTACCGATCCGAGACTATAACAATATTAATCTAGAAAACTCTAACCCACTTCGGATGTCGCTTGTGCACTAAGCCCGTTTCGAAACCGAGAAAAATACGAATATAGCTTGTATACCTAGAGGTAAAATGACACCTCGTACACCTGTGACATTTCGGACTGTCATTTCTCGGTTTCGGTACTGTCTACGTGGGGAATCGAGTATATAACCAGAAATAGAGACGAAATAAGATCCATATATTCCTGGTAACACATTAGCTACAGCTCTTATAAATATCAACTCTCGTTTGCACTGAAATATAGACCCTACTATATCTTTCTAATTTGTGATATAGACAGGCCAACAACTGACCTGTGTGTACGTCTCCGAATATTCCAAAAAAATATTCTGTATTTATTGTAATAAAGATAATATCTCTAACAATGCCGTGTTCTATTCGGTGGAGTGGGAAAAACAGCAAAACTCGAATTACAAAACAAACGGAATCATGTTTCATCGGTAATTAAATGTGTATTTTATCAATTGTCGTCCATTTTAGCATAGCTCAAGTTAAACTGGCCGATTTGCAGTTTCAAATAATTTATGCGTCTTGCTTCCACCTAGTGTAACTCCCATTACGTCATCTCATTCTATTCATTGGGCACGCGTTATATTGGGCGTGCTAGTGTTGCACTGAAAAAATCATATTATCGATATTTGCAAGTATAATTATTACTGAATAAAACAATCGGTAAAGTAATAAAAATCCACATCTAACGTCGTCGTAGTTAAGTATTGAGCCATGAGTATAATGTATCGATTTTATAAGTATGTCACATTATGCACAAGAAACACTAACTATTACGTGATAGATTGTCGTTCGTTTTTATTGCTCAGGAAAATTGTTTTTGTTTGCGAGTATATTTATATATTTAACTTCTTATGGCCGTGTGGTGTTGGCCAAGTATAATACCACCCCATATCTTTCCATGGACATATTCTCAACTAACATACTGCGATCACCTATCCACCTTGCAAGTGTGGTGATTGTGCCAAGTCCCCGAGGTGTCCAGACTGTTTATGAGTTTTGGGGAGACCCATGGGCAATTAGTGTCGTATACTGTCAATTGTTTTGTTTAAAATACGTGGGTGCCGAAAAAACGAAGTGTTTTTGTATTGTTTTTGAAGATTTCCTAAGAATCCAGGCCTTAAGGAAAAATGGATTGAATCCACGAAAAGGGAAAAGAGGATTCCTAGCAATTACAGCGTCGTTTGCTCTTGGCATTTCACAGGAGACTGTTTTTATACAAAGAAGATTCGCCGCCGCTTATTGGATACCGCAATTCCTACACTGCATATGCCTGTAGTAGTAAGTGATATACGTAATCCATCTAATTTAACTTTATTAAACTTATATTATTTATAGACTCGACTTTTTTTCCCCTACAGAGTAACATAAGTTCTGAACGCGCTCCGGAAAATGCAAGTCCAATACCATCATCATCTCAAAATGAACTTTTACCAATTACACCTAGGGCAACTAAACGAAAAGCAACCCATCCTGAAACTCCTACATAGTTTAATTCTCGGACCAAAAAACGTCCTTCCAGGCGTGTTTTAGAATTGACAAGTCAGGTTAAGCATAAATATAAGACAATTAAGGTCAGGTTAAGCATAAAAATAAGACAATTACGTCTGTACGGTAGAATTAAGGACGTTATACTATAATAAGAGGATGGTATCTTTAAAATTCATAATAAAATAATTATAGGTAAAAAAAATATATAAAAGCGAAAGACGGCGACAGTTTATTAAATTGGTGCGCTTAATGAAGAAATCGTACGTCAATATCTAAAACACAGAACGTTGAATTTTTATTCGACAAAAGCGTACAAATATGTAAGAAATACAGTCAGTACTTGCTCACTCGGAATGACTATGGATACTAACAATACTACACAATTCGAAATCGGTAAAAAAAAACAGGTAATGGTTATTTATAATGAAATATCGTCTTCTCAAACTCGTATCTTAAAAAACAAATTAACTGAAATGAAAAAAATGCATTGTACATATTTGCAGGATGTTTTCACATCACATTTCCTTCATATACACACACTGGCTTTTACCCATTCTTAAAGTTATGCATCCAAATTAACATCCTTGATCAGAAATTTAAAATAAATAGAAATTTTTGCCATCTGAATAATCTGAGAAAGTAAGGCGTATACTATCGATTTCAATAATATAATATTTGCTTGTCTTGCCTTGCATTACTAAAGTATATTTCGAATTCGGGCTCGCCTATCGGAGCGCAGTTGTCACAGTAATGATATGGCAGCATAGTTTTCAAATTAAATGACATATCGTCTCTATTTCTGGTTATATACTCGATGACGTGGGGTCTACCTAATCTTGTTCTCTGTCCGAATTAGAAATGGGGCATGGATAAATATCAGTCGGATAAATACTCAGTAGAAAGATAAATATGGATAAATATTTACTCGATATTTATCCAAAAACGTGGATAAATATTTTTAATCGTGGTTTATTATTTATATAGTAAAACAAAGTATATTAAGCTTAATTGTAAACATTGATACAATTTAGTAACATGTACGTATAGTATATTGCTTGTTATACCTTTCTTTCTATACGCAGTGATAAAAAGAATACTTTTAAGTACCTACAGTAAATCTCTGTATTTTTGCGTAAATCTCTCGTCATCTGGCGGGGGAACTTCAGCATATAAAGCAAGTCCTACATACGAATAAGTTGAACATTCCACGCCAATGCCGCAGGCCCCGTGTGAAACCACCAACAGTCGAGCGAAGACCTGTCATCTTACCTTACGTGAGAGGTATTACAGACAAGATCGGAAGAGTCCTCAGGCGTGCATCTATCAAGACCTATTTCAAGCCCCTGAGGAAGATTTCTCAGTTCCAGAGACCCGTGAAATGTAACATCCCCTTACAGGATGCAGGAGTTTACAAGCTTGACTGTGAGTGCGGCCTCTCTTATATTGGACAAACGAAGCGAATTATTTGTACCCGCGTCAAAGAACATACCGCTGATGTCAAACACCGTCGCGTAAACAAGTCTGCAGTCTGCGAGCATGTCAAGGATAAACCTACACATTCAATGAAGTTTGACAAAACCCAGATCCTTGCAAAAGAAGTCCGTTATCTACCCAGGATGCTGCGGGAGACCATTGAAATTAAAAAAATATCCTAATTTCAACAGGGAAGATGGTTTCTCCGTACCATCAGTTTGGAATCCAGTATTTCCTCTAATGAAAAATCCCAAACAGACATAAGACTGCAGTACTAATTAATATGGTTTAGTTTATTCTAATTTCTGTTATTAATTAATAATAAATTGAACTTAATAAAAATTCATTCAATAAAATAATTTGTAAAACTTAATGTAGGGTAAATTTGAATATTTTCGTTGTAAAATTAAAAATAAGGTATTTAATTAATAACTATATATATATTCTAACTATAGTGGAAAAAATAGGATGGTTTGCATCAATATTAGACATAACTGGTTGAAGACTGTACCACCTCAGTCAACCGTGACCATGGGGCCTGTAAAGGGCCCGAAACGTCGGTTTTTTTGAAAAAACAAATGTACGCGATTTAAATCCGGAAAAATAGTTTCATTTCCTATGTGTAACAATCGCGAAAACATAAGAACTCGATTTTTGTGATTTGTTTATTATTTCTCGGATTCCTAACTCTGCTACTCTGCATACTTGGACAGCATCGTAAATGGGATAAACTAGACCATCTTCGTCTCGAAAGCAACTAACTCATACGTATAACCAACTCCAGGTTTTTGTAAAGACAACTAATTCTTTGCATTATATATTTTTTTGTGTTACTCGTACTACATATCCGGCGATATATGTAATTATTTGCTCACTGTATTCGGACATTCGAAGCAACGCGCTGCAAAAATTATCGAAATAACAGATACTACTGATAATCGTAAAACGTAAATAAGACGTTAAGCAAAACAGTTATAGAATATTTTTATAATATTGCTAAGGGCATAATAATTTTCGTCCCTTTGTTTTCAAAATCGATCAGAATCGAGAACAGTGTTGCCTAACGTATACATCACTAAATGTAAAATCTGACCAAAGAAATGTACATACAAGCGGCCGTACCACGAAACTGAACCACAAAAGGATCACAAATATATCGCACCAAGTAAAAGTCGCAATGTATTACAAATATGAGGCATACACTCGTTTGCATATTTGTTTTTTCGAAATTCTTACAAAACTAAAATAATTGTTTTTAAAATTAATTGCGTCTTCTGATTACAAAATCGCTCACCCGTGGAAGGAAAAACCTCCCTGTTTATCCATAATTATGGTGCTTTCGCAGTTTATAATGGCATAATTATGCACTTTTCGCGTCTTCGACTGGTGTTTATCTACGATAGCAGCAACTAAGTGAATTTCACTTACTTTGGGCACGTGAAGTACATACACTTGCGGCGTCTGTCTAGATATAATGTCTGTGGTCTATATTAATAGGGATACTACGGCGAACATTTTCGTCAATTACAATTATATTTTATTAGTAATAATACCTTAAATTCCATCGACTTATGCAATAATTGGTAAGCCTGTATATTTCATTCATTCATTAGCTCCACCGAATCATAAACAAATCATTCACTACATCTGTGTGTTTGTTCAACGCTTAACGCTGTCATCGTGATTTCTAAAAACATTTTTATTTATTCCTTTAATTCCATTGTTATAAAGCTGCAATCTTGGAAATGAGTTTTGAGACGAATAATAGCAATGGGACCTGTAAGGAAGAGCGGAAATACCTAGATCGTAACAAGTCTGACGATCTGCAGATTTCGCGGACTGATATGAATATGTTGATAATGAATTATTTGGTCACAGGTAACGTTTTCTTATCTATCCCATATTCAAATAATCACCTACACACCCTGCCTTTGATTTCACGTCTTTTAGATACCAATCCAGAACGTATAGATAAACTTTTCATACAATATATTTCTTTCATAAAAGATGTCGTTTCATTGCAGAGGGATTCAAAGAAGCAGCCTTAAAATTTCAACAAGAAGCTGGTCTCCAGGAGCCAGCGTTGTGTAGTTCTCTTGATGAACGGATCATGATCCGTGAGGCAGTTCAGAATGGGCGCATTCCGGAAGCAATTGCTATGGTCAACGCTCTACATCCAGAACTCTTAGACAATGACAGATATCTGTACTTCCATTTACAGGTATATTAGTAATTGCCTACTATTTTCATTGATAAGGTGATAAAAACTGTTTTAGAGCAGTTAAAAAATAATTATATAAAGCAAATATAAAATTTTTGATGTATGAATTTGTGATTAAAATGGCCAGCACACTGATAATGTGGTGGTAAATTATATTTACACGGATTGTACGCAGTACAGTCCTAAAGTAAAGGTAATAATGAAAATGTAAATGTTGTGTTTACATTTCCATCTTACCATATTGCTGTGTAATTTATTTAAGAAAAATGTATAGAACTGGCTAAGCTTTATTGTACACAAAAGAAACAGAGAAAATACATAGACATTGTGAAAGGTATGCGTGGCAGCCTTATAACTAAACTAGATGCCGCGCGATGCGCCGGGCCGCTAAAGCGGCCCGCGAGGGCTTTCTTTGTATCTGGTGACAAATTGGGAGTTGAACTTCATACTTCAGTAGAGAATTCTTTTTGTTTGACTTTGAGTGGGAATCGCTGCCATTGTTTTGCGAATTTTGTTTTTTTTTTACTCCCGGTAGAAACTGCCCAAGGTGTAGAGCAACATTTGTTTGGATAGGGCTAAAACGTATATTTCGCCCGTGCAGCTGGGGTCCTACCTGATGCGGAGCACTTTTCGAAGGTTTGGTACTTTCTGATACTCACCAAATCAACCCAACCATTATTCGCATACATTACTCTTATATACCCGCTCTTCTTCTGGGAGAAAAATGCTGGTAAAAAAACCGAAAATTCACTGGTATGGTGGCCATCTTGGAAAATGGCGGGATCCAAATTTCGCTCGCAGATACATACTATGAACCTCCATACACGATCGGTTTTCAAATTTCAGTCGAATCAAAGCACTTTTATTTCGGGACGCCATTTTGAGTACGCCATCATGAAATTTTCTTTTACCTGCAGTTGGCTCGTACTATTCTGTACGACATTTGTTTGAGCGCCTCTCCAACACTCGCCAAGATGCCTTAAAGCATATTATTGTTACCATGTTAGAAAATGGCTGAATCAAAAATTTGATCGCATATTCTTATTACGAAACATGAAAACGTATAAAATTTCAGCCGGATCGGAGTATCTTTTTGTCGGGCCGCCATCTTGAATCGGCCATTTTGAAAAAATAATTTCGACAGCCAGTTAGATCCTGTCGCCCTCTACGATATTAGTTTGAGCACGATCTACCTATCTCCAATAGTTACCGAGGCACAGGTCCCCGAAATGTGTATGGCGACCATTTTGTTTTTCGAATTTTTAATTTTTTTCACTCCCGATAGAAACTGCCCAGAGTGTGGATAAACATTTGTTTGGACACTTTGAGCCAAGACGCGTACTTTGGTCGGGCAGCTGGGGTCCTACCTGATGCGGAGCACGTTTCGAAGATTACTTTACCTTCTGATACTCATCAAACCTGTCCGACCATAATTCCCCTACATCATTTTTACCAACCCGCACTTCTTCTGGGAGAAAAATGACTCCAAAGGGCAGAAAATTCACATGTTTGGCGGCCATCTTGGAAAATGGCGGAATCGAAATTTTGACCCCAGTTTCCTATTGTGGACTCCCATATACGGCCGCATGCCAAATTTCAGTCGGATCCGAGCACTTTTATTTTAAGACCCCACTTTGAGTCGACCTACTTGAAAAAATTTTTTGGCCCCCACCGCCCTCTATGACATTTGGTCGAGGACCCCCCGCCCATCTCCAGTACTTGCCGAGCTACGGGGCTCTGAAATTTGTATGGCGGCCATCTTGTTTATTCGAATTTTGAATTTTTTTCACTTCCGGTAGAAAGTGCCCAGGGTAGCGGTCATTTTTAGTTTGACGATCCTGCCGGTAGGTGTTATACTTTGGCCGCGATGCCGGGGTCCCACTTGATGCAGTGCACTTTTCGAAGATTTCGGATTTTTCTGGTACTCACCGGAGCCATCCGATCACGACTCCCGTACATCATTTTGACCCACAGCGACTCCTTCTGGGAGATCAATTATCTAAATCACTGGTTCAGTCAGTCAGTCAGACAGTGGTAATCCAGCTATACTTTCATCCGATATGTCACTTAATTCACTGACAATTATCAACCGCTGCACTCCAAAAGCTTCACAGTTAAAAATTATATGAGCAATATCAGCATTGGCATTGGAACAATAATTACATTTTGAGCTAGTTACAATCTCTAGTCTATTAAGATGGGCTGGAACTAAGCAATGACCGAATCGCAGGCGATTAATTACAGCTATGAACTTTCTGCCGCAGTACTTGAATCTGTAATACCAGGGCTCTATTGGTATGTCTTTTTGTATTTCTGCATACCACTTTCCTTTACTTTCCTTAGTTTTATCCCAATATTGCAACCACATTCTTCGTGTGTTTCTTTTCAATAATTGGTAAAAATTAGTAAATGGTACTTTTAAAATCTCCGTATGATCCTTATCGTGGTCTTGCAGAGTTGTCAAATCCACATACAATATAATCTTTAATTTGTTTGGAGAACTCCGAGCCAAATTGTATACTTTGACCGGGCAGCTGGGGTCTGACCTTAGAATAATAACGCATAGAAACCTAGCCCGCACACGCTAAGTGAGGCAAGTTAAAGGCTTCCCAACGGGCTCCCAGGAGCGCGCGGGCTGTTAGTGCTCAAGGTCAAATTGCACCGCGAACAGCTCCAAAATTTTTTGCTAAAAATGACGAAATGTGCGGTAAATGGGTGTAAAAATA